GGGAGGTGGAGGAGGCGCGGGCCAAGCTGGGCGAGCTGGACCTCGAGGTGCAGCAGAAGACCAACCGCCTGGCCGAGGTGGAGCTGCGCCTCAAGGACTCGCTGGCCGAGAAGGCCCAGGAGGAGGAGCGCCTCAGCCGGCGCCTGCGCGACAGCCAGGAGACCATCGCCAGCCTCAAGTCGCAGCCCCCGCAGGTCAAGGTGAGAGGGCCTTGTCCTCTCCTGGCCCTCAAGGGACAGGCCAGGAGGTGGGGAGGTGCTGCTGCCAGCTGGGCCATGGGCTTGGCCCCATGAAAACTGCGGGATCTTTGTGGATTAACGGCCCGCCGGGCCCCTCTCGCTGCCGCGCGCCCTGACGTCTCGCGTGCGGCTCTTCCCCCAGTACATCATCAAAACGGTGGAGGTGGAGTCGTCCAAGGCGAAGCAGGCACTGTGCGAGAGCCAGTCCCGAAACCAGTACCTGCAGGAGCAGGTGGGGATGCAGCGGCAGGTGCTCAAGGAGATGGAGCAGCAGCTGCAGAGCTCGCAGAAGACGGCGGCCCAGCTCCGCGCGCAGGTACCCACAGCAGCTCGCGCGGCCCTGCCGTGTCCCGCTGCTCTTCCCCACCGGGGCTGCCGCGGCGCTTTCCTCCGTCCTGAGCACGGCCATGCTCCCCTCGCCAGATCATGCTCTATGAGGCTGAGCTGGAGCGGGCGCACGGGCAGATGCTGGAGGAGATGCAAGCCATGGAGGACGAAAAGAACCGAGCTATCGAGGAGGCCTTTTCCCGTGCGCAAGTGGAGATGAAGGCCGTGCACGAGAACCTGGCGGGTAAGGGCAGGAGCTGCGTGGGGCGCACAGAGTGCCCAGCGCTCACGGACATCCCCTGGGAAGCACCCCAGTGTGGAGGCTGGGGTCCCTCCGAGCCCTTGTCACTGCAGTGGGGGGGACACACGTCCCTTGTGTTCGCAGGCGTTCGGACCAACCTGCTCACGCTGCAGCCGGCGCTCCGCACCCTCACCAACGACTACAACAGCTTGAAGCGGCAGGTCCGCGACTTCCCCCTGCTCCTCCAGGAGACGCTGCGGAGCGCCAGGTCCGAGGTGAGGCCTCCTCCTGCCGTGTCCTCCCCTGTGCCACCTCCACAGGAGGATGGAGTGGTTCAGAGCTGGCAGGGCTGGGATGTGACCCCCCCTTCCCGTCTCACTCAGATCGGACAAGCCATTGAGGAGGTGAACAGCACCAACCGGGAGCTCCTGAGGAAGTACCGCCGGGAGCTGCAGCTCCGCAAGAAGTGTCACAACGAGCTGGTGCGACTCAAAGGTGCGTGGGAGACACCTGCAGCGCCTCCTCGGGCACCGCGCGGGCTGGCTGCCCGTGGCTGAGGGTCTGGGGTGAGAAGGTTGTGTCAAGCGCAGGGGGTGTTGGACAGTGCCTGTGGAGAATGTGGGGTTGTCCACGGTGGGAGATGCTCCAGGGGTCTGAGCTGCTCCCTGCTCTCCTCCTGAAGGCAACATCCGTGTGTTTGGGCGAGTCCGCCCCATAACCAAGGAGGACGGGGTGGGTGCAGAGGCAGCCAGTGCGGTGACGTTCGACCCTGACGACGATGCTGTGCTGCACCTCTTGCACAAAGGGAAGCAGGTGTCCTTCGAGTTGGACAAGGTCTTTCCCCCTAAAGCAACGCAGGAGGACGTGAGTACGGCGTGTCCCCTCCACAGCCTGTCAAAGGAGCTGCTGGCACCAGGAGCTGCAGTGCAGAAGGTGTGGGCAACCTTGGTGACCTCTCCCCGTGCCCACAGGTATTTCGAGAGGTCCAGGCCCTCGTCACCTCCTGCATTGATGGCTACAACGTCTGCATCTTTGCCTATGGGCAGACAGGGGCTGGCAAAACGTACACGATGGAGGTAAGGCTTCACCTCCCTTCCTTTCTTCCTTGATTTCCCATCCCGTGCTGCTTGATGCATCCCAGGACTCAGCACCATCTCAGCTGGACCAGGTGGCCCAGTCCCTAGGTGAATAAGTAAAAAAAACCCAACTGGGCTTTTTCCTTGTCTCTTGCTGCCTGCTAGGGAACGGCCGCAAACCCCGGCATCAACCAGCGGGCCCTGCAGCTGCTGTTCGCCGAGGTGCGGAGCAAGGCGGCCGACTGGGACTATGCCATCAGCGTCAGCGTGGCTGAGATCTACAACGAGGCGCTCAGGTAACTGCTTTCCCAGGGCCTCGCTGGGCCCCTGCCGTATGGCTAGTCCTCAGCCGTACATGTTGTTCCTGGCGCTCCGGGCTGCGGATTTGGCCGGGTGAGGGATGTGTTGTGTTTTTTCGTTCCCGTTGCCAGCCGCCCTTTCCGAGCACTGGCTTTGCTCCCAGCCTCCCATTTCTTGGCTACCTTCTCCTCCTCCTTGCAACTGCATTTGCTCCATCTCCTGCCATAGCTCCATCTCCTGCCCATTTTTTTTCCCCTCCTTTTTCCTCCCTCTTCCACCCTCTCCAGTCTGGCCACGGACTCTTGGCCTGTGGAGGAAGCTGAGGAAACAAGAAACATTTTCCCCCCCTGCCTGCTCCCATGCCCACGCGGTGGTGGTGAGAGGAGGGCGGGATCCTGCCGGGCGGGATTGTAACGGAGGGATGGAAGAAGAGGGGAGCGCGCTGCTCGGCTGGGAGCGGGCGGCACATCTGCTCGGCGGGAGCGCGGCTTGCGGCCGGGCGCGACGCCGGCGGGAAGCGAGAGGCGAGTGCTATAAATAGCGTCGGGAACAGCCTGGGAGGAAGCGGCTCCTCCTGCACCGCGGCCACAGCTGGGCTTGCTGCCCCGGAGCCGGCCGGGAGCCGCTGCTGGAGGAGGCCCTTTGGGTGCCAAGTGGAGGCTCAGAGCTCCCCTCTGCCTAGGGACTTGCTGGGGAAGGAGCCTCAGGAGAAGCTGGAGATCAAGCTATGCCCGGACGGCAGCGGGCAGCTCTACGTGCCCGGGCTGACCGAGTTCAGGGTGCAGAGCGTGGAGGACATCAACAAGGTGAGAGTGGCTGTGTTTCTTCGTGCCTGGATGGTGGCTCTGTGCCAAATCACAAAAATAACCGGAGGAGGCGACGGGTCTGACGGGGAGCGAGATGTGGGAGTCTCTTGGCCCTGCAGCAACATCGGGAGCATTTGTGAAGTGCTGGGGAGCAACGGCGACCAAAATAGGGCCCTGGGGATAGTGTGACAAGCCCTGTGCTTGGAAGGCACCAACCCTTGGCTCGCGGGGGTTTAAAAATAAGGTTTGGGGCCTGGGTGGCTCCCAGGGGATTAACAGGGCACCAGACTTCCCTGCGTCTTATTCGCTTTGTCCCGGTCGCCATTTCGGCTTCCCTTCCCTCCCTCCTACAGGTCTTCGAGCTGGGTCACGTCAACCGGGCAACAGAATGCACCAACCTCAATGAGCACAGCTCGCGCTCCCACGCGCTCCTCATCGTCACCGTGCGCGGGCTCGACCACAGCACGGGGCTGCGCACCGCAGGTGGGCACGTGCCACCCCCCAGTTCACCCAGAGCCAAGACACGGGTCTGGTTTGGACCCGGCGCTGTTAGCACCCTACATGAGTTGTACGCACTCTGGCTTGCGAATGGTGGGCTTGGTGCTGCAGCCTGGATGTGTGCCTTGGAGGGTGTTTTTTTCCTACTCTTTTGGGTCTCTGCCCCTAGGGAAGCTGAACTTGGTGGACCTGGCTGGCTCGGAGCGCGTGGGGCGGTCGGGCGCTGAGGGCAGCCGTCTCCGCGAGGCGCAGTACATCAACAAGTCGCTCTCGGCGCTGGGGGATGTCATCTACGCCCTGCGCTCGCGCCAGGGCCACGTGCCCTTCCGCAACTCCAAGCTCACCTACCTGCTCCAGGACTCCCTCAGCGGAGACAGCAAAACCCTCATGATGGTGCAGGTAGGGCTGGCAGGCGCCCGACTGCCCCCAGTAGCCAGCCAACCATCCTCTCAACATGATGGCCTGGACACCTGCATGTTCTCCGGGTGGGCATGGTGTTCCCAGGCAGGGGAGGGGGGAAGTCACCATCCCCTCCCACCCTTCCATCCCCTTTCAGGCTCCTCCATCCCCTTCCCTCCAGGAATTTGCCCTAAATCCTCCGAATGCCTGAGTCCGCCCTCCTGCCTTTTGAGGGGAGCCGCTCGGCAGTTGCCACCTGCTGTCGCTTTTTTCGGCTCCCCTTTTTCCAGACAAATATGCTCCCTTTAGGGGAGGGGGGGAGGATTGGGCAGGGGGATTGATCCCAAGGAACATATTTGACTCGGACGATGAACTCCGGGCAAATGGATGGCGCTCTCCTGGGAGTGGCGCGTTATAAATAGCCGCGCAGCAGCCCACGAAAGCGGCGCGGCGGGGCTGCCTGTGGAGACGCAGTGACCCGTTGCACCCGGCCGCCGGGGCAGCCAGGTGCGAAGAAA